CCTGGCCAGGCTGCCCCAGCTGCAGCCCTGATGGTATTAGGTCAGGCTCATGCAATAAATCTTGGGAACAGTCAGTGTTTATTTGGATTTACTGCTGCTTAGATCGTTAATACTCCACGTGCACCGAACCCTGGAGCCGTGTACAGTCCCTCGCCTCCCCCCAGCAATGAGGGGGCTGCTCCCCCTTGCCCGGCTGGGATGAAGAGAGAGGAACGGGGATTTTGCCAGCCCGGGAAATCACAAATCACGCAGGATGGCAGCTCCCACCTCCTGACCTGCGCCTGCCTCCCCATCCGGCACAGCCTGCGTCGCAGCACCGACAGCTCCTGGCTTTGTCCCAAAAGCGAAGCTTCACCCAGACTTTGTCCCTGACCCAGCAAGCTCTGTGTGGTCAGAGCAAGGGTTGGGGGGAGCCTGCTGGCAGGAGCCCCTGGGTGTGCTGAGTCATCCCTCGCAGCCCCTGGTCCTTGAGGATGGTGCTGGGGACAGTTCCAACCCCGCTGCAGGATGGACAGGGCTGCGGCCCCAATGGGAACCCCAGCGTCAGGCTGCAAAGCCTGTGCAACAGGACTGACAGCCCCAAAACCAAAGAATTTCCCATGGCACAAATTCACACGCCTGCACAGGGCTGGGAGTCATGTGCGCGGCATCTGCACCCTTGATCCATCTCCTCCCGCGGCTGTGATGGGGAGACCCACTCGCAGGACTCCCAGGTCCGCCCCAAAGCCCTCTCCAGGTGTCCAATGCAAAGCTGGGCCAGGCAGGCAGAGGCTCCTCTGGGCAGGGAGGAAACCCCAGCACGATGCTTATCCTGGCACCAGTGCACCCTGTCCCATGCCAGCCCCTGCCCACGCCACCCCCTGCCCTGCCCAGCCAGCAGTGGGGTGCTGAGAGCCACGATTAGCCAGCTCGAGCCAAGGGACAGCAGCTCCCACCCGTGCAATCACCACGTCCCAGCTAATGGCTCTTGGCAGGGGGTTTCGCTAACCAGCTCAGCCCTGTGTCCCCCAGCCAGGCTTCATTAGGGCAATTAAACCAGGCTCAAGGCAATGCTGCTGGAGGCACTGGGGTCCCAGATGGTGGCTGGGTCTGGGGGGGTTGTATCACCTTTGGTGATGTCCAAGTCCATGGGAGGCGAAAAGGAGCAGGAAGGTTTAACCATGCCCTGCAAGGTGCTGGCTGTCCGTGGGGCTGTGCTCAGGGCTGTCCTGCAGAGAGGGAACAGCTCATGCCACTTCCCCGTGACTCAGCCCACGAGCCGGTCGCTGCCACGCCAGCTATGGGAGCAGCCCAGGCTGGGATCCGGCTCTGGCATCATCCTGACCCCAACCACCTGCCCTGCTCCCCCTCCTCCAACATCCAGAAAGGTCCCAGGTCTGCTGCTATAAAAGCAAATCCTGATGCAAAGCCATCCACATAGGACAAACTAAAATAAACGTTCCTCCCATGCTCTAAATAACCCAAAATAAGTGCCAGACCCAAAGGATTTGGATGTCAGCAGCTCTGGAGATGACATGGCCACTACATCGAGCTCAGATAACAAAACCATCCCCCCCTCAATCCCCGAGGATTTTCCCCCCGCAGCTGCCGCATGGCTGGGCGAGGTTGGCCAGCGATGACGCCCACCCAGCCGCTCGCTGTCCCATCGATGCCTCGGCGCTGCGCCTTGGCTGGACCGGCCAGGAATGGCAGCCAAGGGCTGCAGCAGCGCAAATCACACCCAAATCCTGCGCTAAGAGCCTTGGAAAGCCAGCGAGAGCTCAGGCCCTTTGGCCCAACACCATGGGAGCTGAGCAGGGAGATTAGCGCGGCTTCAGTCCCTCTCCATCCTCTATGAGCAGCATCTCACCCCCCATCACAGTGAATGCCCCCTCTTCTCTCGCTTTATCAAGGTGGGTTACACCAATTTAGGGGTGAAAAAAATGTAAAATTCAGCTAAAGGGTCCCAGTGACACACTCAACCATGTCCACATACACCAGAGGACTCGGGTACTCAGAAGACGGGGAAACCGAGGCACAGAGGGCACCTGCCTGCCACCTCTGTGTATGGTACAAACAGGCTCCTACAGACCCTTCTACACCTCTGGACATGTCCTGGGGGACGGGGACTGGCTGGTTTGGGTCTTCCTAAATTCCCTGCACACCCTTGCTTGCACATCCCTCCTTCCCTAGGCAGGCAGGATTACGGTATTAGATTTTTTGGGTGTTCCCACTCCATGGCAGGGCTTTTGCAGAGACTCTTAAAAGTCCCAAAACCATCCTGAACACTCAACCCAAAATGTGCTGCTGTTGCAAAAGCGATATTCACTGCTGAGCATCTGCCTTTCACACCGGGAGGAAGGGAACCTTATAAATCAATCCATCTTTAACCAGGCGAGAGGCTGCTGAACATCCTCGGGATGCTCTCAGGCCCTTCGGTAGCCATCAGCATGGCAACGGTCGCCATGGAAACGCCCTCCTCCATGGAGACGCATCCAGCATCCATCGCTGGTGCGGAGCGATGGGTGGTGTCCTCCAGCGCATCCCCCTGAAATGGGTCTGGGGTCTTTGTCCCCAGTGGGGTCACAGGGCTGGAGGAATTAAATGGCCTCATGGGGTGGGCTAAGGGGGGAGAGGGGGAGAAGAGCTGCCTCCGAGGGCACAGAGGAGCTCCTGGGGGAGCAGCAGCCCGGGCCAGGGGAGAAATCCCAGCTCCAGTCCCAGTAGCTTCTTTCCGTGGGATCTGGGGAGGGTCAGAGCATCGCCCTGTGCCCCCCAGCCCTGGGTGGGAGTTAC